GGGAGGGGAGGTGAATTAGAGCGGGGGCGGCGTGCTCGGGGAGGAGGCGGAGCAGAGGTGAGCTGGGGTGGGGAGCTGCCGCGGGGGGGGGGGAAATTGGGGGCACCACTTTTTGGCGCCCCCAAATCTTGGCACTCTAGGCAACCGCCTAGTTCGCCTTAATGGTAGCACCGGCCCTACTTGTCGGTCACACCCACAGGGAAGCATAAACTTGCCTGGATTTTGTTAAACTGGGGAAGCCCCCTGGGTGGATGGAAGCTGTTATTCCAGTTTCAGAGCATTTTATTTTGTTTTATCTTTTACCAGTTCCCAGCTGACTGATGCTAAACCAGAATAAGCAATGTAAACTGAAAGAAGAATGTCCACACTGCCTTTTGCACTGGTTTAATTAAACCGATTTAAAGTCGCACCTTGAGTTTAACAGGGGCTACTCTGCATGTGCCGAGGGGGCAGCATGGACGTCAGTGCGGGCTAGCCACCTGAGTGCATAGCCCAGACACCCTGGCATGCGTGCACTCAGGTTGCTCACCTGTGCTGCCAGGCCTACCCATGCTCAAAGCCGCCCCAGGGTACGGTGAATTAGGGAGGCTGCCCCGGACCCCACGCTTTGGGGGGCCTCGCGGTGGCCACCCCGAATCGCCGTACCCTAGGGACGGTTCTGTGTACGGTCCTGCGGGGGGCACTAGGCCAGCCCAGAGGGGTCCACTCCACCTCCCCCACCAACTCCCGGCATCACTCAGTGGAGGAGGTGGAAGCCAGAAAGAGGCAGGGGCAGAGCAGGGGTGGGAAGAGGCGGGCTGGGGGCTGGGGGGAAGGGGTGGAGTGGGGACGCAGCTGGGGCAGGAAGAGGCAGGGTGGGGGCGGAGGCTGGGGGTAAGGGGCGGAGGGGGCAGAGTTGTCTCGGGCCCCACACCCCCCTGGGGACAGCCCTGCCCATGCTACAATGACACCTTCATCTGGGGCAGAGACAGACCCTGCGACAGAGCAGGGTAGAGCGAGGGGTTGGAGCAAACAGTCAGAGATGAAACCCTCGATCCACTGGGCCAGAGAGGCAGGTAACTTTGTGAGCATGGCCATGTATATAAGCTTTGCTTTTCCATTCTAACCTAAAGTCCCTAAAATACTGTATTCCCGTTGACTCAAACATGCTGGCTTGCTCCTCAAAGGCTGTCCCGGGTCACTGCAAACAGCTGCTGGCTGCATCACTCCCTCAAAGGGTGAGGTCTCTAAGCCAGGGCTTGTGCTGTTTTGGACCCAGCTAAATGAGATACAGTGAGAAAACAGAGGTGCTGATGCCAGTTTCAGGAGAGTGGAGCCACGGGGTTCACCCCACCCCATAACAAACTAAACCCACAAGGGGTGGAAATACTGATTTTTTCACCTGTTTTTGACCCATGTACGTTTGTCGGGTTGATCTCCTTTGTTGATCTCTCTGCACTCAGCACTTCCAACACCAGTGACTTAGCACTGAGAAAATTTAGAGCCAGAAACAGACTCACCGTTTGTCAAATTCGGTGCCATTGGGCCACTTCCAAGACTGATTGGGCTCCCTTCTGAGGCCTATCCAATGGTAAACGCTGCCTTTGTACCGCAGAAGGAACGTCTTCAAAACAAACAAAGGGGGACCATTGTATTGCATGGATGAATGGCTTATGTTTGACACCCTGCCCATAATGTCTTCCAGCCTAGACAGTATCTATCATGTGAAAAAAAAAAAACAGGAGGAGGAGCGGGGGGCATTTAAAAAAAGAACAACTTTTTAGGTCACCTTCCTCTATTGTCACAAAGCAAAATAGGGCACAAGCCCCTGTGTCTTTGCTTTGACATACAAGGGAAAGCATGTTGCTCTGTGTAGTGGCTAGGGTGCTGGAGGGCAAAGGGTGGCTTTATAGTAAAGGGGAAATGCCTACAACACTCAAGAGCCGGGCAAAATCAGGCCATCTCTTCAGCCAGCCACTTCTCCTGTACATCCATCCATACGGAAGCACTGGCTGTGCTGAGCTGGGCAGGGAATGAACTCCCAGGAGATGAGCAGGGCTGGAGCTGTGTTTCTCCACTGAATTCCTGCTCAGAGAAAGAGCGGGGGCAGGCTGCCAATGAGCAATTTCAATCACGCACTGGCTGCAAAGCTCCAACTCCAGCCAGGGACCTGGGAAACCTCATTCACTCTTCCCTCCCGGCCTGGGACACACAGGGGCGCCTCACGCTGCAGGGCCTGGGCACTGTCCCATTGGCTCATGGTCTGTCAGGTCAAGGCCCGTTTATTGCGCTCACAAAACACCTGGGTCCCTCACCATCTCCAGGCCACTGTCAAGCCCCGCCAGGGAGGCGCCCTGTGAAGAGCAGTAGCTCTGGCTGGCGGTCCAATTCCTTTCGTCCTCGGAGAAGAAGTAGCACTGTCTTTGGTAGCCGACCCAGCCATCCGGACATGATGGGACGTCCGCACAGGCCAAACACGACTTAGCAGTTCTGACTGAAACAGAGAACGTAGAATAGGGTAAGAGGCTGCCCCCTCCTCATCTCCGTATCCAAGGGGAACACGTAGAATAATCCCCTTAGACCAAGGCCTCAGAGAATCCCCTCAGCAGCTCTGGCAATTGCTTGGATGCAGTGGTGGGCCGTGACGTTTTCAGTAAGGCAATGCATGCAGGACATGACCTCACCTTCCAAACATTTAACGAATGAAGGAGGGGGGGCGCCGAAGATGCTCCTCGCTTGGGACGCCGTTAGGTCTAGGGCCAGCCCTGGTCCAGCCCCCTTCCCATTTTTCAACCAGCATTAAAAAAGAAGTAGGAGGCAACTACAGGAGCTAAGACCCGGGAAGCCGTTTGGCTAAGCTTTCCCTAGTAGCTGCAGTGCTATGTTGGCTCCCCCAAACCTCGCAAGGACGTCAGCGCCAGGCCCTGGAAACGTGCGCTCGAGCCAGCTCCAGATCTGAACAGAAAACGCAGAGAGTGAATCCATAAGAGCTGCGCGCTCACCTGCCAGGGTAGCTGTGGTCGCGATTAAACCCGAGAGGACGAGGAAGACTGTGACTGCTGCGACGATTGTAAATGTTCTAGTTTTCCTGAATCTGTAACCTGAAAGAGACCAACATATTAACACTCCTGGGGCTGCTGCAGGGGGGAGGGATCTGAGTTAGTTATTTACCATGGCCTAGTGCAGAGACAGAAGACAGTTTGCACACCCCCTAGTCAAGCAAATGGAAAGTCACTAACTGCTTGATAGATCAGAGTTTGTAGCTGTCTCTGATCTACCCTGCACTGAATATGGGCTTACAAATTTCCTCCTGAGCTTTTCGACAGCACTTATCACCGTAGTAACTCGTGAGAGATTTAAACAGGTAAAGATCAGAGACCGGCATGGAACAAGCCAACCTGCTCTCTGCACAGCTGCGCTTTTGCCGTTGTGTCCCAGCGAAACAAACTGGGATATTCAGCCCTGAACCAGAGCGAGAGAGACAGGGCCACAGTCCCAAACGGGTGCAGCTGGCAAGCCCACAAAATGCCCCTGCACCCTGTTACACAGCCATAAGCGCCCGGCTGCAGGGAAAGTTGTGGCAGTAGATGCCAAGCAAGCGGCGGTGCTCAAAGGAAGCCGGTGAGGTGATCAGATCCCTGCTGCATTCGCAGGCAGGCATGTGGGCTGCTGCACCCAAAACTTCATCTGTGTAAGCCGCGGTGTTTCTCCCAGGCAGAGGGGTTCCACCTACTTGGTTCCTTTCCTCGCTCCTGGTCTCCATTGCTATTAAGGGGCATATCCAGCCACTGTTCCTTGCAGGTATCCAGGCCATTGTACATCCTTTGTCTTTCTGTGTCATTCTCTATAAAAAAAACAACACAATTCTGCTTGAACCTGCTACAGTCACAGTAACAGAGAAGATGATGTAACTGAATAATTAGAGGGGAAACATTCTCTCTGGTGTGTTTCCTTTGTGCATTGGACAGCAGCTTGTGTTGTTATTATTTGTTATCTGCATTACATTAGTGTCCAGGTCCCTTTGTGCTCCATGCTCCACACACAAATAACTAAAAGCTGTTCTCTGCCCCCAAAAAGTTTACAATCTAAGGGCAGGTCTACACTTAAAATGCTGCGTCAGCACAGTTGCGCTGCTGTAGCAGTTTAATGAAGACGCTCTAAGCCAATAGGTGAGAGCTCTCCAGTCAGCCAATAGGATACTTACTCCACCTCCCCGAGAGGCGAGAGATATGTTAACAGGAGCAGTTCTCCCGTTGACATAGCGCTGTCTACACTGGGGGTAGGTCGGTATAACTACATTGCTCAAGGGTGTGGATTTTTCACACCCCGAGCGACGTAATTATACCAATCTACGGTTGTAGTGTAGAACTGACCTAAAGCCCCCAATCCTGCAAACACTTATGCCTATTTAACGTCACACACTGAGCAGTCTCACTGAAGCCAGTGGGGCCACTCGCAGCACATAAAGCTAAGCATGTGCATTCATTTTGGCAGGATCAGAGCCCACCTATAAGACAGGAGCCAGCGGGTGAATCCAACAACGAGATGGGAGGAGCCCTGAACTGATTCTATGACTGTAACTAGTACATTGTCAGTTCCATCGGTTCCCCTGTATATTCAGTCAAGTTCCTGTTTTGTTTCATGTGTGTCTTTCACTCAGCAAAAAGGGAGCGAAAAACCAGCTAATGACAAAAAGACATTTGATTATAAAAAAACCTGCCAGGGAGACTCCGGGGTAAGTGCAGAAAACCGCGGCTGATTTTATCTTATTTATTAAAACTGATTTGGTTTCAGGTTGACTGTATCTAGGGAACCTTAAGTTTTTCGCCCTTCCAGATTTGTTTCATACCAGACAATACGTTGCTGCCAGGGGCCAAGATCGGGAATTGCAGGGGGTAATGTCAGTTATGGGGAAGTGAAGGGATCACCCTAAAACAGTGTTTCTCAACCAGGGGGTTGCGAGCCCCAGGGCAGGTCACGGGCAGAACTGTCCCTTGGGTAGGGCGAATCGGGGCAACCGCTACGGACCCCACGCTTTGGGGGCTCCGTGGGCTGGTGCAATTGGCCAGCACGGTCGGTCCCAGAAGGTGAATCTGTCACTTCCACAGGGCCCACCATCTTGTTGGCAGTTAGCGGAGACAGCGCCCGGCTCGGCCGCCCGTGTTTTGATGCAGTGAGTACCCCCCCGGCCGGAGCCCTGAGCCACCATGGTGCTATGGCCAACAATAGCGTCACGGTAGGCGCCGGCACTACCAGCAGCAGCAGGCGGCCCAGCACCAGGCCGGATCCATCCCACCGGCCCACCCATCAATGCACAGGGTGACTAGATAGCAACTGTGAAAAAACGGGACAGGGGGTGGGGGTAATAGGTGCCTATATAAGAAAAAGGCCCCAAAAACGGGACTGTCCCTTTAAAAATGGGACACCTGGTCACCCTACCAATGCAGAGCAGGGCCCCTAAGCCGGTGAGGGTTGATTTGTCTCAGGCCCTGCACCGCCCTAGGGACAGCCCTGGTCGCGGGATGGGCTTAGGAGGTCACAGGTGCAGGGTCAGTGTTAGGGGGTGGCATGCTGGGCAATTGCCCATGGCCCCCTCCACAAGGGGGCCCCACGAAACTAAGTTACATGCTTCCACCCTGGGCGGTGGGGCTCTGGGCAATGGCCCTGCTTGCCACCCCTAATGCCAGCCCTGAGTCGTATTCATAATTTACTTAATGATATTTAAGGGAGGGGGTCACCATTTTCCAAGTCTTAATATAAGGAAGAGGGTCACAATTTTATTTTAAGTGCAAAGGGCATCACCGATACAAAAAGGCTGAGAAACACTCCCCTAAAGCAAAGATCATTTCAATAGCAGTACGTGTTTCGACATGCTTTCACTTTTACTACTGATCTGAATCGCAAGCGATGCAAGGGGTCCCTCCCCGGCCCCCCGGTCTTCTCTTCGGTCTGAAACTGGTCGCAGTCCCCAAAAGAGGCTCAGTTTAGTAACCAGACCTGGCTCGTTCCTATTCTTGGTGTCAATTCTGCCTAGTACACCCGTGTGCGCTTAGATCATCCCCTCCCCCAACCCCTGTCTCTCCCTGCCCCTCCCCCAGCCCCTGTCTCTCCCCTCTCTGTCCCTCCCCGCCCCTCAGCTAAATCACCCCTAGGCTTTGGAATAGGATTCAAATCCCCCTCTCCCCACTCCCTAAATAATGAACAAGTATCAGAACCGGGCGCCTGCTCCCCACTTCGCCCTGATCCCGGAGAAGCGAACTCACCGAGTCCGGGGACTGAAAGAGAAAGAACATTGTGGGTACTGAACTTTATGTGGGGAAACTCCACCCCTGTGCTGGCGTATGGCCAAAAAAAGCAGCAGCAATGGGTGGAGTGGAGTTGCCTGCTGGGGAGGGGAGACAGACATCAATGTTATTTGTGGGGAGAAAGGGACAGCAGTGGAGTGAAGCGCAAAGCTGGTGCTGTGAGTAGGGAACTGGCCGGACACCTGGATTTGGGTCCCAGCTCTGTCCCAGACTCCCTGTGTGACCATTAGCCCTCTATAAGGACAACAGCCCTGCCCTGCCTTGCAGGGTAAATACAATAAAGATTGTGAGATGCCGACAGTGGCAAGAAAAGTACTATAGATGGAGAACTGTGTGGAGGATCAGGGGTTGTCTAAGAAGGAATGTTGTGACACAGTCTCATCCTTACTTGTTGGGAACAACGCAGTTCAGTGAGGAAACCTAATGGGGGGAAAAGCAATTTTCAATTCTCTGTTCCAAAAACACCAACACAAATCCTGCATCAGGGCAAAATCAGGAGCTACGGCAGATGCAGAGCGCATGCTTATCACAGAGCACCGAGGCCCTGGCTGAGATCAGGGCATCACTGTGGAAGGTGCTGAGGTCGTGCAAAGCGAGAGGTGCTCTCTTCTCCAAAGAGCTTACAATCCAAACACAACATCGTCTCTTGGCAATAACTGCAAGTAGCAGATCCCCTCGTAGATTCCAAAGCCAGGAGGGACCATTGTAATCATCTAGTCTGACCTCTTGGATAACGCAGGCCAAAGACCTGCTCCGAAAATAATCCCTAAAGCCGAGCTTTTAGAACAACATCCAATCTGGATTTAAAAACTGTCAGTGATGGAGACGCCCACAGGACCCTTGGTAAATTGTTCCAGTGGTTAATTACGCTCACTGTTAACAAATGTCCTGTTATTTCCAGTCTGAATTTGTCTAGGCTCAACTTCCAGCCATTGGATCATGTCACACCTTTCCCTGCTCAATTGAAGCTCATTGTTATATATTTATTCCCCATGTAGGTACTGATAGACTGTAATCAAGTCACCCCTTAACCTTCCCTTTGTTAAGCTAAATAGATTGAGCTCTTCTATAAGGCAGGTTTTTGAATCCTTCAGTGAGTCTCATGGTTCTCTGAACCTTCTCCAATCTATCAACAACCTCCCTCAATTGTGGGCACCAGAACTGGACACAGGACTCCTGCAGCAGTCACACCACTGCCGAACAAAGAGGTAAAATAATCTTCTGCTCCTACTCGAGATTCCCCTGCTTATATCTCCCAGAATCATAGAATCATAGAATATCAGGGTTGGAAGGGACCTCAGGAGGTTCTAGTCCAACCCACTGCTCAAAGCAGGACCAATCCCCAACTAATTCATCCCAGCCAGGGCTTTGTCAAGCCAGGCCTTAAAAACCCTTAAGGAAGGAGATTCCACCACCTCCCTAGATAACCCATTCCAGTGCTTCACCACCCTCCTAGTGAAAAAGTTTTTCCTAATATACAGTGTCATACTGGGAGCTCATGTTGGCTGATTATCCACCATGACCCCCAAATCTTTTTTCAGAGTCCCTGCTTCCCAGAGTAGAATTCCCCATCCTGTATGTATGGCCTGCATGCTTTTCCCAGGGATATGACTTTATCTTTGGCCATATTAAAATGTACATTGTTTCTTTCATCTAGTTTACCAAGCAACCCAGCCGCTCTCTATCAGTGACCCGTCCTCTTCATTGCTTACCACTCCCCCAGTGTTTGTGTCACCTCCAAACTTTGTGAGTGAGGATGTTATGTTTTCTTCCAGGTCACTGATAAAATTGTTAAATGGTGTAGGGCCAAGAACCGATCCTGCAGGACCCCACAGGAAACAGATACGATTGGTGACAATTCCCCATTTACAATTACATTCTGAGACCTGGTGGAGGAGGTAATATCTTTTGTTGGACCAATCTCTGTTGGTGGAAGAGACAAACTTTCGAGCTGCACAGAGCTCTTCTCCAGGTGAAGGAGTTGGTCCAATAGAAGATCTGTCCTCTCCCATCTTGTCCTCTCACCTCCTGGGGCCAACCCGGCTACAGCAATGCTGCAAACAACTTGATATTTTTGTCCATCAATCCAGACAGGCATCTCAGAAGGCTCCAGTGAAAGGAAAGAACTTATCCCGCAAAGCAACAGTGATTCGTTTCAGATACTGTGCTTTTGAGTGCTACAGAAAATCTCAACACAGACAGATTAAACCCTACAGCTCTCCCAGAATAAGAAAGAGACAGGAGGCCAGCAATCAACCCCACTCCTGCCAAAGGAGAGTGAAAAAGAAATTTACAAGGATGGTGGATGGGTAGAAATATTCCGGGCATTAAGAAGTCTGGCTTTAGAAATAAACTATTAGGGGCCATAGCGCGGAGTCAAGAGGAAAGCTAGAGAGGATCAGTGTGGAAAAGCACAAAAGAGGAAAGAACCAGGACAGACCAAATCCTACACACAGGGGTAAACCCTTTACAGGATGCCGAGAACAAGGAGGTATAAAATCAGTGCCCTCTCCCTTTCACTGCAGTTATGCCAGTGAGCCGGTCTCTGAAGGACCCCAATGGAAAGATGAACGGAATACAGCTTCTAACCCCTAGGGGTGCCCCTCTCTTCCTGCAATCCCATTGTTCACTCACTGCAATCATTCCCTGTTGGGAAATGTCAGGTGAGCTAGTGTTTAAAGGTTGGGGTAAGAGGGGCGGTTGTGCAGAAACCCAGGCCGTGGGAGAAGTGGGATCTCCCCAAGCAGGAACCTGAAATGCAACATGAAATGTATAGTGGCAGTCGGAGCAGCATATGGCGATGAGTTTATGATACAGGGTGGAGGAGGAACAAGGAAGAGATGGAATTCCATCCAGCTGGCTGTTACTGATTGGCAGGATAAAGTACAACGTGTCTAAGTTTCCACCCCCAGCCACCCCAGTCTTTCATCCTGTTTTCTGATGGAGAAATGAAGGGGAGGGGGGAGAGAAGAAAGGGGAGAGGAAGGGGAAAAAAAACAAAAAACAAAACCCGAGATTTTTTTTTCTGTTTTCAAAAACCAGAACAAAGTGAAAAATGTTATTTCAGGCTGAAACACAATGTCAAAAATCAAAGAACGCTGGCAGGATCGAAACGGCTCACAGGAAATTGGATTTGGTTGAAGAGGCATTTTTTGTCCAAGAAAAAGCTCTGCTCCCAATGTACTTTATAAAGGTGGGTCGGTACCAGTATTTAATAGGGGAGAAACTGAGGCACAAGAGAGGTGAAGTGACTTACCCAATGTGCCACAGGGAGTCAGAACTGGGGACAGAACCCAGACCCACCCCACCCCATTCTAGCCTCTAGACCTCACTCCCCTTCCAGAGCTGGAGCTAGAACCCAGGAGTCCTGACTCCCATCTCCCCCTGCTCTAACCACTAGACCCCACTCCCCTCCCAGACCTGGAGCTATAACCCAGGAGTCTTAGCTTCCAGCCCCCCTGCTGTAACTACTAGACAACTGACAGAAACTACCAGGTGGGATTGCTAGTGATAGAGATGCTGTGAGGAGCAGAGTGTGGGAAGGATTTGAGTATGTAAAACACTACACAGGATAATTATTGTGCACCCAGATGAATCCGTCCTATAATAACAGTGGATCCCTTCTCTGCACCCCCACACATTCCCCCCCTAAAGAGGAGAGCATTGCTGAACCAAACATCCAGAAGGAGGGAGTCCCACACCGAGGAGCGTTGCCATGACACCACCAGCTTCACCGGCTAACCTGAGGCCCGCTGGTGGGACCCATAAAAGATGGGTGAGGTTAGAGCCAGATGATGGCCAAGGAACAGGTCTTGGTGACAGTGGGACCAGCTAAGTCAAAGCTCAAGGCAGCTCAGTTCCACCTCTTCTGCCTAGCCAGTGTCTCTGCTCTGGGACCCAGATCCAGACCCCAAGGAAGTCAATCACTGATGTCAATGGACTTTGAACCAAGACCTGCCTGATTCATGGATGTTAAGGCCAGGAGGGACCATCCAATCATGTAGCCTGACCTGGATATCACAGGCTAGAGAACTCCACCTCGTTATCTGCCTAGTGAGCCTAGTAACTTGTATTTGATTAACGCATCTTCCCAAAAGGCATCCAGGCTTGGGTTGAAGACATCAAGCGATGGAGAATCCACCGCTTTCCTTGGCTGCTTGTTCCAGTGCGTAGAGACTGTCCGGTTTGGCCAGTGCACATGGCAGTGGGGCATTGCTGGCACATGATGGCATATATCACATTGGTAGATGTGCAGGTGAACGAGCCCCTGATGGTATGGCTGATATGATCATAGGACCTAATCACATCACATCTCTACTGTCGTGGTCAAAGACACCCACGCAGTGATTTTAGTTCAAAGACTCAAGCCTGAGGCCAGTTTATTGACATACATACCAGTGCACTGGGGTGCAGTCCGAAGACTGACACCCGAGGACCGTTCGCAGGCGGGCTTTTATTTCGTCAAACCGCAAGCAAAGTACAAACAATACGTCATGAGTTAAGAAATTAGGGTTGGGGTTAGTCCCTCCCCCAAACCGCGAGTTAAGAAAGTAGGGTCGGGGTCAGTCCCCCCTCCTCCCCCCTGGTACCTTCCTCATTAATTTTCCGAGAAGTGGGTGTTTATTTGTGGGTAGAGGGGCACTTGGTGGTTTTCCCCAGGGGTGATACTTGGCACCAGTTTGGGTACATTTCTCAAGACACATGTTATTTTCCGGGGTCTTTTGGTTAAAGATTAAGGGGGGGGGGGTTTCCATGGGAGGCCTAAAGAGGATCTATGATTGGCTATTTTTGCAGATACCTGGAATCACGGAGTGGGTCACAGATCACCCAAGGGAGAAGCTGCATGAGTCAGTTTGCATTTAGCTAAAGTTACCTATTGCTTCACACAAGCGGTTATTATATTTCATCAGCCATGAACATATTTCATTAGTGCTGCTGCTGGGGCTTTTTATTTTTTCCCTCCTTGCCCCCCCGCCTCTGGTCATGACCCTTGACCGAGTTTGGCAGGGAA